TCCAACATGACTTATGCTCGGACAGCTGTCGTCCGACGAACTCCACAACGCCAACGTGATCTTTAGATCATAGCTCGTCGCATGCAGAACTGTAACACTGCTCACCTTGTGCCAGTCTTTTCACCCGAGCATCTCATACATTTTCGCATCTCATTAAGCATTTCGTGACTGCTATTCCAGAGTCGCCGATGATGCCAGCCGAATCAAAGGTGGACGCCTTGCGTGCAGCCATACTCGATGTGGCCAAGCGCACGGGAAACCTTCTGTCTCGCCAAGCGACCAATCCCGGTCATCGCATGCTTGTTGCTCTTGCAGGCGTGCCAGGCGCGGGAAAGTCAACGGTGTCTGATGCGCTCGTCTCTGAGCTTGCTGCGCGAGGTATCAAAGATGTTGCTGTTGTACCGATGGTAGGAGCCAACCGAAACCCGCGATGCCACATCTCTGACGAGCACTAGGACGGCTTCCACTACACTCGGGAAATCCTGTCGACTTTCGATGATGCCGAAGTAGCGTTCAAAAGACGTGGGGCGCCTTTTACATTTGATGCGAAGGCGTGTGTGACGCTTGTCAAGACACTCAAAGAAGCTCCCGTCACCAGGGATGGCGAAGCCGACATCTGTATTCCTGCACCCGGCTTCGACCATGCTGTCAAGGACCCCGTGCAAGACGCTATCAAGATCTCTTCTCGTACTCGACTGGTTATTGTTGAGGGCAACTATACACTTTTGAAACAAGACCCATGGGATCAGATTGCCGAGATGTGTGATGAAAGGTTGGTCATGGTCATATCTATCGCCTGGCGGGTTGGTACTGACACTCTGCAGATGGTTTGTCGACGCGCCTGTGGGCACGGTTCGTGATAGGCTAGCACAACGTCACCTTGCTGCTGGCATCGAGACGTCGATGTCAGCTGCAATCGCACGAGCAGAGGAGAATGACATTCCAAACGGCGAACTGATACGATCCATGATGGTAAAGCCGGATGTCATCATTGAGAATTGAGGCATCGTGCCATTAAGATTGCGCCCGAGGTTAGAAACCGGACGTAGTAAAATCCCAATCGAAGGAGTTGAATAACTCATTGGACTCAACGGACCATGGAAACGTACTCAAGGCGTCTTTGTCCAGCTCCAGATCCTGCAGTGTACCGGAGTCCAACTCGCCGTCAGACACCACTTGGTCAAGGATGGCCACGCAGCGGGCTGACAGCGAATCCCCAACAAGCCGTTCGCGGAAGGTGGTTCGGGCCAAGCGAACATCCTCATACCAGATCGCAGTCTCCTCAGCGCGCGGGAAGCTGATGATGCAGAGCGTTATTACTAGTGCCGCGTGGAAAAGGAAGTACCTGTAACCCGATTAGCTTAGACATTGATATGAAGGGTCCAATTTAGATGCTTACGTCGAGTACCAACCCTCAAGTCTATTCAAGTCCTGTGTTGCATACTGATGTATCGAAACCACCGTAGAATGCGCAGCTTCGAGACAAATTCGCTTACAGTCCTCTTGGCTTGACTGCATGGCTAGGTCTGGGATCTGACCTCGCTCGGAGATGGCTCGGCGCAACAATATCTGTCGGAAGATGATGATCTTGAGATTCCAGAACCTCCACCACAGCCGAGAGCGAGCGAATGAATACCACGGAGCCGTCGACCTGGGCGCATGCGAAAGCTGGAAATATGTCGGAACTGTGTGTGTCCACGCATCCATGGAAGCGTTCAAAGCGAGCGCGGCCTCCGCAGAGAGCCCGGGCTCGGCTAGTAGTTTGTTTGAGATGTGGTTCGTCTGTAGGTGAAAACTACTCTGTACTCCGAGAGAGGAGTATATAGTCGGTTCTCCAACCTCAGTGGGCAGCGTTGTGGTTTGTGGAGTAAGTGACTAGCATGGGTCAGTTTCGCGACGGCTATACAAACTTCGCTGGACGGTCATACCTCGTCGTGGATGTTCAGCACAGGATGGACATCCATAGTCTCTTGGTCAGGCAACATGATCGCGCGACCGAATGTCGTCGAAGCTCCACTGTCGAAGATGTAGAGACCCCACCATACTCGACGTCTCGTCTCGCGCTCTATCAGGGTGATGTTCCAGTGAGGAAGTTCTCTGTGGAGGGCTAGACTGAGCGCTGTGCGAACGCCGAGGCCCAACAGATTCCATCCCGTATTTGGGCTATTGCGCTTCTGACTAAGGTTGCTCAGAAGTATGAGCGCTTGTACAGAAGTCAGGCTGGCAGCTTCAAACACAGACTCTTCCTGACCCAAGGTCAAGGCCCGGCGGTATAGGTAGTCTTCCAGCCCAATTTGATCGTTATTCAACGACCACGCGCCAAGTGCTATGATCGCATGAGAAAGCATGTTCCACGACTTTTTTGAGGGCCGCGGGACGACTTCATGGTACTGCGCCCGGAATGTTGCTTCGTGAACAAATGGATAGACCACGTGGTAGTTGGCAAAGTAGGCATCAATCAAGCTCGACGACAGCTGTGTTGTGAGGGCTGCATGCGAGATGTGCGATGATGCCAATACGTTTCGAAAGGAAGCGGATGGGGTCGCCACACTCTGTTGAGGCCGGGGAACAGACTGGTGCAGAAAGCCGGCCCAGTCAAGCAAACATCGAAGAAAAACGACCCCAGAAGTCGAGCCTAGATAGTTTCAGTCACGCATTTTGCTCTTCGACTGAAGCAACTGACCCAAATAACCTACACCAGTAGGCTCGACTGACAGGGCGGCCATGCCATCAGTCAGCCCATCGACATTGACGTCTTCTTCTTGCCAATTGAAGCCATCGACATTGTTGGGTACAGCTTCAGGTAACGCAGGCTCATGTGTGCTTGAGTGGGTGCTGCCCTGGGGGCTTGGTGCTACTTCTGGCGTCTGAGACTGGATGATGACGGATCGTGCAGAGCCAGCCACATTCGGAGCTGATAACAAGTCTTCAATATCAACTCCAGGTAGCAATTGTGTGACCAGGGACTCCAGACCGTGCAGTCGCTTCTCTACACCCGTGAGGTATGCCCGCGTCAAGGGTGATCTAGCGACTTTGCCACTGTAATGGCAGTGCGAGCCGCTATGGGCGCAGGAAGTGCATATTGGCGCATCTTTCGAGCACTTTAGCTTCTTCGCGCGACAACGATCGCATGAGAGAGCATCGCGTGGTCTTCGGTGCTCCATGCATGGAGCTTCTCTAGTGTGCAGAGGTGGGGGCGGGATGCGGATGCAGAAGCATCGCCGCCCACCTTGGAGTGCAGCTCGCGTGCTGATCTATGCCGAAATCGGCCCGAAAAGCCGCGCACCTCTCGCGTCCTCGACTCCTGAACAGCAGATCATCGACTTCGTTGGAGGCAGCAGGCACCACACCCGCTCTTCGTCTTCGTTTGAGATACTGTCGGGATATGCAGTGCGCACTACTTGCGAAGTCTGCAACAACACCGCCGCATGTACTACATCCGCTATAGCACAGAGAAGGATCACAGTGTTGCGGAAATATGATGCATCCCCTATTACAAGCTAGTTCTGATTCGCATAGGCATCCGAATTTACTCGCCGCAAAGATGCACCTCCAAACTGGCTACGAGGTCCTATCCCCGCCAACAGTTGATGAACTAATCATCGCTAAGGTCCGCCGTCTCCAACCTCTCGACCGAATGCCAAAGCCAGTCCTCGAAGTGACTCTTGCCAAAGTCTCGACCTCTTGGAGCATCGTACTTGTTAGATCTCCACCTGCTCGACAACGATCCAAAGTCTGCGTGAGAGGCTGGGTTGTCTATCAGGTCCTTCATCTCTTGTGTGTTCTCACCGTCTTCGCCCACACAGATGAGCAACGCCTTATACGCCCTCTCAGCGAATACACTTGCTCGCGCTTCATCACTATGGAAGAGACTAAGCTGTACCGCGTAGCAGTAGATATCCGCCTCCGGGACTTTGGCAGCACCTTTGAACTCCTGGAAACCATCAGTATGGGCTTGCAGTCTCACTCAGCGTGATCACGTACCTTATTCAAGAGTTCGACTATCTTCCGAAGGTCGAAGAATGCCTCTTCAGGCTTGCAGCTGGCACGATCTATTTCAGCAAATGTGTCCTGAAGCCGAGAGATCTCCTCACGACGCGCGTCGCTGGCATCCCGATGAGTAGCTGAGAGCGAGCAGATTGCGCACGAACAGTCGAACCCGAAATGCTTCTTCAAGTAAGCTTGGCGAACACTGGCACTTCCAGAGTCGGTGTAGCAGATACTTATCTCTTCTCCAGCGCTGAGATCGCGAGTGACGTGGATTGTCTGCATACCCATGGAGTCATTCCAGTTGTAATGACTATTTGGAAGACAGCTGTGATTGATGAAGCTGATGGTAGGAAAGATTGCAATGGCAGACAAGTCGCTGCCGCAAGCCATCGAGTTTGTTTTGAAGATACCGCCGAGGACATACTTGCCAGTGTAGCTGTTGTGAAGGGAAAAGAACTGTCGCTGCTGAGTCTTGTCTAGGGCCTTTAGATCTCGTGCGAGTCGAGCCTCCAGTTGCTCGTTGGACATGTTGTTAGGTATCATGAGCAGCGGTTTCTCGGAGAGGATACGAGTGCCTTCAGAAATGGCGGAGCGGGCAACCAGGCCCCTGCCTTTTCCGGGGATCTTTCGAACGTCGTAGAGTGAGGAACTCATCGTATGGGATGCGGCGGTAGTCGAACTGACTGCAGAAGTCAACTATAATCTCCTGCAAGCGCCGATGCTGTAGTAAACTTTTGTGATCTGTACGCTCTTATCTCGCTTTGACAAAGAAGCTACTGCGCACACTGTGTTGCGAGTGAGGGTAAGAGAAGGGTAAGGGTCTAGAAGAAATGCATTGTGAGTGAGTGAGTGAGCTTCCTACACCAGCTAAGCGCAAACCAGAATCTCATCACGCTGTCAAGCCGCTCTATCACCGCTCAAAACCACTGTTTGCTCATACCCAATACAATCACCCTTATAGGCTCCTGTCCAAGGATATCTCACACCCTCAAGTTCGCGGATTGACCTGATCACGACCGCCAGAGCCAATCCTCGAACTCCGCCTCGTCCCGACCTTTGGGAACCGCAGTCTTGTTAGTCCTCCATCGCTTCGATGCTCCAAAGTTGCGGTGTGTATTCGGGTTTTTCTGGAAGTCCTTCATCTTGCGTGTCTCCGGGTTATCGTCCCCCTCGCATAAGAGCCGGGCGTCGTATCCTCTGCCCGCAAAGACGCTAGCACGAGCTTGATCGCCATGTGTAATGGCGACCTGGAACGCATCGTAATACAATCTTGCATGTAAAGAGGTGACGCACTTGAACTCCTCGTTCAGGACACGTACCATTTCTCGGCAGTCTGCTAAGACCTTGACCTAAATGACACGCACATGAGTTAGCGAATGTCTTTCCAGCTAACACCGAGCCGGTTCAAAGGTTTCGGCTAGCCTTAGTTGCTGTACGTACTACAGTGCGTCAGTAGGTATAGACTCGAATGGGGGTGATCAAGGGAACGTACCTGGGCTGTTCATGACGCGGCTCGGGTCACCGATGTCTGCATCGAGTTGCGCGATGCGGGTGCGGCGAGCATCACTCTTCTGTCTTTCCTCAAGTGGAAGCGAGCAAAGACTGCAGTCGCAATCAAACCCGAACGAGCCTCTGAGCTCAGCGCGTCGCGCCTGGTAAGTCTCAGGATCTTTATAGCAGATTGTGATCTCTTCTCCCGCTTTGATGTCTCGAAGGGCGTGTATGGTCTCGCTGCTTGTCGTGTCGTTCCAGCTATGATGGGAGTTGGAGTCGCAAGAGTGATTGATCAGGCAGATAGTTGGATACACACCACCGATCGGCGAGCCTGGTCCACATGGTAAAGCATTGGTCTTGAAGATACCGGAGAAGATGTTGTTATTGGGATAGTTGTTGTGAAGACCGAGGTACTGGCGTTGTTGGTCCTTGGCGAGAGATCTCACTTTCGCCAATACAGCATTATCGACCATGTTCGCTGCGGAGACTAGAGTGAACAACGGCTTCTCACACAGAATGCGGGTTCCCTCTGGTATATCGGCGCACGCGACAAGGCCGTTTCCCTTTCCCGGGATCGATCGCTTTTCGTAGAGCGGCGACGGCGATTCGTCCGCGTGGGATGAATGTGTATCGGAAGACATGTCGAATGGACTATAAAGGTACGAGAATGGAATTGGATACGTTCCGGGGTTTAAAAGATGTCGTAAAATATGATTACTATCATTTAAGTAGGCAGGCTTGCAATCTGTCGATGAGCAAACGGGGCAAGCCGTCGCGCTTTGACCTCTTATGTGGGTGACTGCCTGCGCTGCTGTGTAACCTCGACTATGCAGTCTCAAACATTGGCTGCTACATGCGGGGTGAAACGCGCATACTACATACATGAGAGTACACTACATCTCTTGATCACGTATATCGACTAGGTACTTAGGTAGAAACTGAGGAAGTGACAAGTCATTGCCAGCCAGAGACCTCGGGATGTTCGCCGTCCATGGGCGATTACACGTTCGCGTTTGTCTCGGGTCTTGCAGTAAGAGACTACATGAGCTCCAATCAACATAGCTATGTCTCGTAGTTACATGTGGACATCTTTAGGGCTTTGAATTTTGGGATGTACTGTCTGCAACTGCCAATCGCGAACAAAGTAGGGTAGCATTACATCAGCCTTGGCAGCCTGATCCGGCGCGACCTCATACCACGAGCTTCTATCTACGCATCAGACAATGGTGAGCGTCGCAATAATTGTTGGTCTTTTTACACATACGTAGCGCCAAGTATTGGAGTATGTACCACAAGTCACAAGTGTCTCTCACATCTTGGGCAGCATTCCATCGACAGGTGGCTTGTTGGCGTCATGACAAACGCGAGATCGCCGGATCTGTCAGGAGGACTCGCACCAGAAACAAAGAATCGCGGCTCGGACGGGCAACGAGACGAGTTTTTGGATCGAACGTGGATCCTGAAAGCCCAGTCATTACCCTGTCCCAGGAAAGTGCAGTGGGTACCTGGGCACTCTTAACCTTGAACCACCCCTTCATTCTCAGGATTACCACAACACATTCATTACCTGAACTGCCCAACATTTGAGCGTTTGCGACCAGCGATCACGTCATATCACCTGTTACAACACTCACCTTCCGCCCCAGCCTATTCCTACCCTTGCTACCTTCCTCAATCATCCCGCCGCCTTGGAAACACGATTACTACCAACATGTTCATCAGATCTACCCTTGTCGCCTCCGCGCTCCTCTTGTTGACTACCTCTGTAGTCGCTCAAGGTGTCGGTCCCGACTTCACACCCGGTCGCTGTTCCTTCGACGCAGTCGTCACTCAGGATTGCTGGGACGACCACGCTAACACTTACGTCGATCTCTCACCCGTTTATGATGGCGCTGGCAACCAGTTCATGGAGCAAACCGACTTCATTGACTTGACCGATGGAGAGACGCTCACGGGCGTGGTTGCTGGAAAGAAACTGAAGATTGGATATGAGAGGGACAGCATCGGATGTGTGTACTATCGCGAGCCACTGGGATTCCAAAAGTGCTGACGCGAGATAGTCATCTACGGCGACGCTGAATGGCCTAACCAGAATGGAGACAGCGAATTCAACTGCACCACTAAGCCGTGGGACAACCTGCCGCTGGATTGCAACGATAGTGACCGCAATCATCGAGTTAGTTCTCAAGATACTCTTCTGCTTACTCCCACTGACCATTCTGAAGTCTCAAGCCCTGACCTGCGAATTCGACTGCACAAAGCCCGAGTCAGACTTCACCGTGAAGCGCGCGCGCTCCGAGGCGATCCCCGATATCCTTTCAATGCCGCCCAGTCCAGCCGGCACCAACTCAACCTCTGTGGACTACGCCCCAGGCTTCTGCTCCTTCAAGCTGCAACTCTTCCAGCAGTGTCTTCACACGCCCGCTGAAGGCTGGCACAACCAGATGCTTGGCATGCTTTACAGCGTCGAAGACAACAACCGCAAATCCGTCGCCACGTACCCCGAGGGGACCGGTCGTATCGACAAGGGTGCTGTGAGGCTGTTGGGCATGGGCGGTCTGATTGTAGTCTATAGTCCGGACGACAGGCAGATGTACTTTGCGTTTGAGCCGAAGGGTGGCTACTGGAGCACTCTGACTCAGAACACCCCGGATGCGATGGGCATTTGCTCTTGGAACCCGTGGACGCGCGCCGAGACTGGCTGTGATGAGAATCACCAGAACGATCACCCAAGGGTAAGTCATCCTGGGATTCCTTGATGGTACGATCACTAACGGCGTTGCAGCTTTCGGACATGACCTGTGGGTTCTGGTGCTAGGGAACCCGGGGTGGTGCCAGCGACCGCACCTTGGAGAGATGCAACATTGTCATGTCGATATTGATGAGATGACTGTCTGGATACATTGCGTGGCCATAGGGTGTTGGAGGATGTGTTGAAGGTACTCGTCTTCCGGCTTAACGGGTGCTAAGCATGCTGGCGTTGCATCCATCCATATCTCCAGCTCAAATATAATTCTGCTTTCTGTCAAAGGCCTGTAGCCATCCTTCCTACCTGGGTACATGCTTATGCAATTGTGCGCTAGTAGAAGCTATGGCATGTCATCGAGACGCGACCTCGGGCTGTTCGTGACGCGTGAGTAGCGACAATATACATCCCAGCCACCAACCGTGCCAGATGGAGACACGGACAAAGGCGACGGATATGACGTTCGTGGTCTCCGCTCACTGCCCATTGGCCGGATTGGGTGCTGTGCCACGCGCAGAGTGCACGAGCATATCACATGCCGCGAGCAGCAGGTACTTCCAGGACGCATCGGTCGGCCTGACGTAAGCAGCGGATTGCACGGCCACACTCAACGCGTGACCCGGCAGTGGATCGTGAGGTACCCGAGGGAGTTATGGACTGTTACGTGGTGTTGTGTTCAAGATTGGAGGAGCGGACACGCCATTCCGTAATAGCCAAAGCCCCCGCGCTCGTGACCCGCTCCCGAGTCCTTCGACGCCTCAGTACCGTAAGCTCAAGTCGACGATAACAAATAGCAGAATTACGCGGAGTCATACACGAAGACCTTCCTGTAGGCGTTACCGTTGCGCACACTCGCTGCATATTGCATGCAGGTACCGTCTCGCTGGATTGAGGAGCCTCGGCGGTATTCCAGCCCTTATCAGAGCCAAAGTCCGCCAGCTCTCAGCCGGTGCAAGCCGACCGTAATCCACCACCACCATGTCGACGGCGGGCTCCAACGCTTCTCCACCGCCGCGCACGCAGAATGCCCAGCACACGCGCACCTACCAGGCCTGCATTCCGTGCAGACGCCGCAAGGTGCGATGCGGTACGTTCACGCTGCAGAGTGCTTATCGCGCAATTGCTGATATGTCTAGATCTTGGCCCGGTAGATAACCCACACGACCCGCCCTGCGTGCGATGCAGGAGGGAGAGTAAGGAGTGCTTCTTCTCTGCGACACGCCGGAAGCGCAAGGCCGACGGCGAGGACGACTATGACGAGGTCGACGACTACGAGCTGCGCAATGGCCGGAAGCGCCAGCGCTCAGATGGCCTGCCGGAGCCTCTGATCACCACGACGACCAACCCGGCGTATATATCGCAGCCTCTGACCCCAGGCGGCTCCATCGGACGATACGAACCGCTGCGACGGCCGAACACGTCGGGCGGCCACCAGCAAACGCCCAACGAGGAAGAGGACCAGAAGGTGAACAACGAGACGGTCGCGACGCTGCAGGCGGGCGAGGTCTACAGCGGCCACGATGCGCTGAACCTGCTGTTCGAGGCGGCGGGCATGAACAACCACCACCGCACCGGAAGCAGCTCGAGCATGCAGCGACCGACCCTCGGCAGCACCCCAGGCTCGCAGACCAACTTCGCAAGCCCCCGGCCCAACACATCCCATGCGCGCGCCAACTCGCGCGCCACCGTCGAGCCCTCGGTCGATCCGGCTATACAGCAGCCCATGCTGCCCGACCCTCCGAACGAAGCTGCCTTCGCCGACGCCGTGAGAGCCTGGTCGAAGTTCCGCTTTGTGCGCGCAGGATGGCTCACGGCAAAAGAGGCAATCGCATACATCGACTACTTCTACGCCTTCCTATCGCCGCTCACACCCATCGTCGTGCCCGACTACCGCGATCATGCCTTTCACGCGAAGCTGCTTAAGGAGGAGCCTATGCTGGTCATCACCCTATTGACCATCTCGGCGAGGTATTCACAGCCTAGCGGCTCGAGTGGTGTTGGCGCAACGTCTCGGTCATACCTTATCCACGAGAAGCTATGGAAGTACCTGCAGGGCATGATAGATCGCATGATCTTCGGACAAGAGCAGTTCGGCGGCGGCTTCTGTGGCGCAGGCCAGCAGCCTGGATCCGACGTGAATCCTCTGTCGCGGAAGGGCCTTCGTACACTTGGCACTGTGGAGAGTCTGATGCTACTTACCGAATGGCATCCTCGCGCGCTGCACTTCCCTCCTGGCGATGACGACGACGAGCTCGTTCTCCCCGACGACCCCTACGAGGCAGGACCGAAGGCTGATATGTACAAAGGCGTGGGCGATAAGCGCATCGACAGTTGGCTGGAGCCGTGCTGGCGCAGTGACCGCATGTGCTGGATGCTGCTGGGCAACGCGATGACCCTTGCTTTCGAGATTGGTGTCTTCGACGAGACGAACGAGACCGAGTTTGAAGAGGCAAATCAGCACCTCTCGCATGCGACAGTGAAGGCCTATTACCGGAGGAAGAACCATCTCCGCGACCTGCTCATCATATACGTCACCCAGACCAGTGGCAGACTGGGTCTCACCTCTATGCTTCCCAAGCTTGAACGGGATGAGAACCTAGTTGGCGGCCCATCGCCACTTGAGTTATACAAAGAGCGGATCAGTCGCATCAAGGCTCCTCCAGCGCAATTTGGTATGCGCTCAGATGGCCAGCGCCTTCCGCTCGAATCCATCGCTACGCAGGAACGCCATGCTGTTCAAGATCTTGTGCTCGACTTCTGGGCCCGCATTGCCAAGGTCATGGAGATGGGTAACCTGAAGTTGTTCTCTAATCGACGGAAGACCAGGGAGTTGCTCAAGTCCGGAGGCTACGAGGAGATGCTGAAGTTCTTTCAAGGGCCATTGGTGGAGTGGAG